TTTTACCCTCCAGCTCACATATTTTTGTCTTCGCTCAGGCAGGATGGCTCCAGAGCAATGTTCCCTCTAAGCTGTGGAGTCTTATGAGCAAAAATCCTACTTTGTGAGCTCCTGGCATTAAAGTTGTGAGTGAGCACTTTGGCTACTGCAGAAATTAGTGTGCTCTGGAGCCCACCTCCCTGAGCTGAGACAAAAATGCAAGAGCTGGAGGCTAAAAAACTGTGAGCTAGCTCACACTAAGTCACCTTAGAGGGAACAGTGCTCCAGAGCAAACTAAATGATGCAGTAGCCAAATCACTCATTCATAACGTTAATGCCGGTAGCTCACAAAGCAGAATTTTTGCTTACAAGACTCCACAGCTCAGAGGGAGCACTGCTTGGGACATGACTCTTCTTACTCCCTTCAAGAGAAGTCTGTAGCCAATAACTAAGTTTCACACAGACGGACTTAACTCAAGTTCTCCCCTCTGTGTTTGAATGTCTGTGGTTTGGGGTGTTGTTGTTTTTTGTTTGCTATTTATCCGCCACTTAATGCATTCTGGGTTTAAATCGGATATTTCGTTCCATTCTTTATAACATCAGCAAGTGTCCTCTATTAGTTTGATCCCACAGTCTTTCAAAAACAAACTTTTGGATTAGGCATGTATCCATCCACAGGTAAGAGTGGCCAGGGCCCCAGTATGCCAAACCCTGAGAGTCATAGGGTGGAGCCTAGTGATGCTATGGGGCGGGGCATGGTGATGTTACATGGAACAGCTGCACTAGCAGTAGTACTTTCACACCTACCTAAGACGTGTAACAATTGGTGGGTAGGAATCAACCAACTTTCCCCTGGTGACAAAGAGGGGGGGGGTTTGCTTTGGCTACCCATAAAGGCAATCTTGGGGGACCATGGGACCTGCAAGTCATATAAGATGAGTGATATATTAAGGAAGTCAATATGCCAAGATTGAGGAAAAACAAAACCATGACTGGATCCTACCTGATAGCGGTGAAATTTAGTGCCAGATTACCGCCTCCCATTTCCACATGCAGGAGTTACCACAGATAAGCAATGTGCTCAAGACTTCAACAAAGTTATCCAGTGTGCAGGCTCCCAGTCTGCCCTGAGATTTCAACCTGCGGCCCTGGGAACGAGCCCCCAAACCCAAGTATTGGGGCCAAAGGCTGGCTGTCCTACCCACAGGTCCTACCCTGTGAGTGCCATAGGAAGCGGTCTTCATGAAAGTAGGAGAGGTCCATCTGTCACCCGTTCCATTGGAACATCTTCATTCACTTTGAGAAACCCAAGACTGATCTGCAAGCTGAATCTTGAGGTTCTTTGTATTTAAACCTCTTTATTGTTTAGGTCATAATTTAAACAACTACCATGTCCTTGTCCAAAGCGCTGTTTGAACTGGTTTACAATATTTTAAATAATAATAATAAATACATTTGAGATGTACTGCATAGACTTCTCCACCTCATCTACACCCTTACTGAGGCATCTTGACACCCTCTGAAGGTTATCATGCAAAGTACCAATGCCTCCTCCAAATCTGCGCAAAGATGAGGAAGGCAACCGGGAGAGATGGGCTTTCCTGCTCTCCCTGAAATCCAGAATGCCAATCCTGCTTCAAAGGAGGGAGCTGTTAGGTGACCAGACATCAGTGAATGGCTATGGTGTCCTGTAGAGGTCTAATTCAATCTCTACAGACTACTTTCCAAGGCAAATGCATCCCCAACAACTTTGGAATGGGGTTGGGACAGATTGTTTTCTCCACAGCCTGTAGCTCCAAATTCATAGCAAACGTACCTGAGAAAAAGAGCAGCAAAATGGGCACAGGCTAGGTGAAAGTGGATCTGTCTTTTCCTGACCAAGAGATGCAAACTTTGTGATTTGTTTGGTGGAAAATTTGGAATATATACATGATATGCAAACTTCACGACTTTGGATGGTGTTTAATTTCAAAATGGATGCTGGGTGATGATGTCATCCCCCAGCACCAACCTGCAAACTGAACCCTACACCGATCAAGGTGTGCACATCCTGTGATTTGAGATGAGCAGTTTGCCATGTCAAAAACAGGGCTTCTGTGAGAAAATGGCGGGAGGGGAGACGCTAACTCTTATTAATGATCTCAAAGTCAACGTGTTGGCTGTGCTTAAGAATCCTACTTGGATAGATACAAATGCTTAGAGCAACATTCCTGTTGTGAGACCCCCAGGGAAGGAAGAACTTGGAATTTTTTTCATTTTAATTCTTTCCCTTCTCCATAATGGTCTACTTGTAGAATTAACAAGACCCTTGCAATGTCTACCATCTGTCACATGTAGCTGCATGGGCATAGACTACTACAGGCCATACTTACAGTGCACAATTAGGTTTAATGCCACAGCCATGTAAGTGTTCTCTTATAAGGGCACACACAAATGTGCCATGGAGTAAGTACCAGGGACTGTTTACCTGATCTATGAATAGATTTGTTTCTCCAAGCTGATTATTTAAAAAAAAGTAAATACCAGTCACGCAGATTTTCAGGGTGGTAAAAAAAAAAAAAAATGAAGTTCTCCCAGAGCAGGACATGCATTGGGTAATGGATCGAACATTGACCAATACAGTGCTCAAAGCAGTTATATATATAATGGTACACTGCCCAAAAGAAAGGGAGCTCATCTGGAATTCAACTTCTTTTAAGAGAAGGGTTTTTAATATTCATTTTGTGTGTGTGTTTTTGTCTGCTTGCCTGGAAGTCATGGTTGTCTTCTGGCGACCCCTACTGGGGGCTTGGACATTTTTCAGAGAGGAGGCTTGATCAGCCTTGCCTCTGCGTCCCACCTCTGGTATTCCTTGGAGGTCGCACTTCCAAGTACTTGCCAGGGCCGGCCCTGCTTCGCTGCTGAGATCTGATGAGATAGGGGTTGCCTGGCCTATTCCGGTCAGGGCCTGCAATTTAGCTTCTTGCTGTGTAACCTTGTAACGCAAACCACAATGCTGAGCATGGGCTAAGCTTGCAATGCAGCAGAAAATCTTGCTGTCAGAATTCTTTCTGTATGCAGTCTGACTCCACACTTAGAGGCAGTAAACCTCTGAATACCAGTGGCAACATCAAGGAAGACCTCAGCCTCTGTGCCCAGTTGTTGGCTTTCCGATAACTGGCTGGCCACTGGGTGAGACAGGACGCTGGACTGAATGGATCGCTGGTCTTATCCAGTGGGGCTCATCTTATGGTCTTGTACATTCTTGTACAGTATCGAAGAGCTGAGCTGAAATAGATCCTTCTAAGTATTTAGACTTAACACGTCTCTCACCAGCGGCCTAGTTCTCCGAGTCAGACTACACATGGTGCTAACAACTGGCAGCCCATCCAATGTCCTCCCCTTTCTCTGATTAAAAATGACTCCCCATTCCCTGACCCAGGTTACTTTAAGGCCCAACAGAAAGGGGGGGAAAGGTCAGTACACACTGTGCAATTCGGTCTTCTCTATAAGATCTTAAAGCTGACCAAGGGAACTAATTTCAATAGAAGAAACAGACCTGCTTTTTAGGATTCAGTGGACTGAATCCTATCACTCCACTAAGCAAAATTGGAGGAGGAGGAAGAGAAAGAGGAAGAAGAGGAGGGGGGGTGGATTTATACCCTGCCCTTCACTCACGAGTCTCAGAGTGTCTTACAATCACCTTCCCTTCCTCTCCCCACAACAGACACCCTGTGAGGCAGGTGGGGCTGAGAGAGCTCTGAGAGAACTGCTCTTGAGAGAACAGCTCTGAGAGAACTGTGACTGACCCAAGATCACCCATCTGGCTGCATGTGGAGAAGTGGGGAATCAAACCCGGTTCTACAGATTAGAATATGCCACTCTCAACCACTACACCAAACTGGCTCCCTTCCTGTGGAGGAAGAACCAGTTAAGTTAGATGAAGGCTCTATACGCTGGAGGAAGGCTTCCAACTTCGCTAAGCAGAATGGTAGGATATGGCCTATTAACATGTCTAGTGTTCCAGTCATGGCACTCCAGCATCCTGTATAGTTTGATCCTCACTGAGAGAAGTAAACCTGTGTCTGGGCTGTACCACTTGAGACTTCATGTGTAGACCCACATTACTCAATCCTCCCCCATATCTTCCACATATTAAACTCAACTGTCAGTGAAAATGGTTATAGCCTAGCTGCCCCCCCCCACACACACACACACTTGTTTCCTACACAAGGAGACATTATTATCTGGAGGATCTTTTGTAAAGGGAGCCTCACTTGCCATCTGAAGTGCTCTCTTAAAGTATCTGAAAGGCTGTTGACAGCAGAGGAGAGGACTTGCAATAATTTGTTTAAAGTATGGGTGGAAAGGTACCGGCTGGATATTAGGATTTTTTTTTTTACAGTAAGAGTAGTTCAGCAGTGGAATCAGCTGCCTAGGGAGGTGGGGAGCTCCCCCTCACTGGCAGTCTTCAAGCAGCAGCTGGACGAACACTTGTCAGGGTTGCTTTAGGCTGATCCTGCATTGATCCTGTATGGCCCCTTCCAACTCTATGATTCTACATCCAAGACACAAGTTTACCACTCCAGCAAGAACTAGACTTTAGATTCTCAGAGACACAGTCCATACTGCATTACCACACTGGTCCCCCTGGACAGTGAGACGGAGACCAGGAAGCTGGGGGACTTGTTTGTTTGTTTTTTTTGCTGCCCTACACAAATTAAAATTTACTGTTCTCTTCGCCTCCACACACTCACAGTCTAAGTGGCACTCCTTAAAACATGTACCATAACTGTGGCAGGAGCCACTGAGCTTCAGGCATCCAGGCAGTTGCCTAGCTGGCTTCTCGGCTGGACCAGCCTTGGCCAGAGCACATGCCATAGTATTCGCTACAATGAGAGGAATTTCTTCTACTGATTATCTGAGGAGTAGCAATTGCTAGGGTCTACCCACAGCTTTTCCTGTGGTCTATTCCTGGCACCATGTGCAGCAGCAGAACATAAGGCAGATTTCTCTCACACATGGCATGGTCATGGTGATGATTAGGGTGCTTCCTGTATACCCACAGATGCACCCTGGCTGTACATTCCTTGAAATGGACCAGAGAGTCTAGTGACAGTGGGCAGGGTTGTCCGAGGATAAAGCTGCCGGTCCTCCTCCTCTTCCTCCACTCCAGTGGCAGCAGCATGGAGGCGTTGGTGGCGGGCAAGATGGGAGCTACGGCTGAAACGTTTGCGACACTGTGGGCAGGTGTAGGGACGTTCACCTGTGTGGGTGCGCTGATGCTCCAGGAGCCGGGCACTTTCGCAAAAATGCTTGCTGCACTGGATGCAAGCATAAGGCTTCTGGCCAGTATGGAGGCGTCGGTGCTGAGCCAGGTTGGAACTCCAGGAGAAGCGCTTGCCACAGCAGTCACAAGCATAGGGGCGCTCCCCGGTGTGCATGCGCTGGTGCTGTCGCAGGTTGGAGAGCTGTGTGAAGGCCTTGGGGCAGTCCCCACACCGGTAAGGCTTTTCCCCTGAGTGTGTTCCCAAGTGGCGCATCAGGTGCGAACTCTGGCCAAACCCTTTCCCGCACTCCATACACTTGTATGGTTTCTGGCCTTTGTTGGTGAGTATGGGGACGGGTTTCATGGGCATAGTCAGTGAGGGGTCTCTAACTCCCAGCCTACCATGGCTCAGTTCCAAAACGTGGCTCTGTGGCTTATTCCCTTCAGGTTCACCTTGTGGCAACATCTTTTGGGCAACGGTGGGTTCCTCCTCACATTTCTTCCTGTTATCTGTTCAGACAATATTAACAGCATATCTCAACTGAGGAAGCAGTAACAGGTCATGCAAATTAGGGACAGGACATGTAAATTACTCACACAAATGCGGAGGGTTCACTCATCTCTAGAGTTACAGTAGAATAGGTTTGTACACAGCCATCTGGCAACCTTTGACAAACAGGAAGTATCTTCTGGCAGCCAGGCAGAGATACTTTCACCAACGGAAAGAAAACTGCACCCAATCAACCACTTATTTGTAGCCATCAATGTGCCACAAAGACTGGTATGTGTGGGCATGTCAGCTTGTAAAATATTTTGTGAGCCGGTCTCAACTTCAAGGCTTACTCAAACATAAATATTGAAATTCACCGCAGATCTGAGATGATCAAACTGTCAGAATAGAGACTATGAGTAGGTCCCTCACTGTTTAAGGAAATTCTTCCTCTTTAGAAGAATAAGAAAAGTTGGTTTTATACCTCGCCCTTCACTATGCAAAGGAGTCATGGAACAGCTAACAATCACTTTCCCTTCCTCTCCCCACAACAGACACCCTTAGGGTTGCCAAATGGGGGCAGGGGGCGGGGAAACCCCCACTTTGGAGGCCCGATTTCCGCCACGGCGGAATCGGGCCCCGGGGAGAACTCCGCCCCCCAAAGCTGCGTCACCAGGTTGGAACTCCAGGAGAAGCGCTTGCCACAGCAGTCACAAGCATAGGGGCGCTCCCCGGTGTGCATGCGCTGGTGCTGTCGCAGGTTGTCGCAGGGTGAAGGCCTTGGAGCAGTCCCCACACCGGTAAGGCTTTTCCCCTGAGTGTGTTCCCAAGTGTTCCCAAGAGGTGACGCAGCCACGTTGCTGACATTGGGGGCGTGGCTGAGCTCGTCGGGGGGGGGACCATACACGCACACAGCTGGCTCCCAGTCAGAATGGAGCCTCCCCCGCCGGTAAGATAACGTCAGCAACGTCACACGTCACTTCCGGTGCTCATCGGAGCCTCGTCGGAGCCTCCCCCGCCGGTAAGTTTGCCAGACTTGGCAACCGTAGACACCCTAGACACCCTGTAAGGTAAGTGGGGCTGAGAATGCTCTGAGAGAGCTGTGACTGACTCAAGGTCACCCTGCTGGCTTCATGTGGAGGACTGGGAAATCAAACCCAGTTCTCCGGATTGGAGTCAGCTGCTCTTAAGCACTACA